AAAAAAAAGAAAAAAGAAAAACCACACGCTCTGTAACTAGATGTCTACCCTGTCATATAGATCACTTTCTTGGCTAGAAATGCTATTTCTGACTATAAACCTAAATCTGAGTAATCCCCCTAGTTTTCATTCTTCTAGGTAGTGGAGGGAGTGGGTAATAGTTTCCTTGATGCTGAGCTCAAAAGAGTTTTGTTTGTGGCTCATTGGCCAGAACTATCTTACCTAGTCACTCATGATTCCAGAGGAGGCTAGACAAGAACTACCTTTCTCAACTGCTGTGTGAACATGGACAAAGGAAAAAGGTGTTGGGGGAGCGGAGGGGTCCAACAGAGTTTGGTCAAGTTTATTACCACTTTTCATAAGAACCTGGAAATGGATTCATGAATTATGTCAACTAGCACTTAAATTGATAGAATCAAACAACCGATTTCCTATTTATACCACTGCAACTGGTGGCCAAGAAAAGCCATCTATTCAGCTATAACTTCGGAAACATGTCCCAATCACCAGATTTCTCTCGACTTTTTAAATCTTAAGCCACTGTCCCTACTCCCAGGTGGTTTGCTGCACCTGAACGAGCAGCTACACCGCCATGAGCAAAGTCATCTTATGCAGCAGTCTGGAGAGGCAAGGCCCAAAGAAGGGCAAGAAGGCCAAACGGCCGCCCCGCCGGCCAATCAACCCAGGGAAAACGGGGGGGACTCTAGGACTATTTTGTGAATTGGCTAAAGCCTATGTGAACTAACAGAGAAAATTTTCTTTGTGTTTGAGTGCTCCTTCATGGAAAGAAATAGATTTTCCCCTAACGAGTCCCTTTACAAACTGAGAGCTCCAATTCCAGCTTCCTTGTTGCAGAAGAGCAGTGAGGAGAACTCAGGAGTATTGTCCTTGTCATACAGATGAAAACTGGGATGGGGCCCTCCCTGGTGGTGCAAGGGATTAAGGCATCATAAAGCTGTCGGCAGCCCCTGCAGCATGAGTTCCATCCCCAGCCAGGGAGCTGACCCACATGGCACAGCAGATCTCCCCTGCCTCTCCCACTGCTCCCCTCAGCAGTGCTCCCCATCAGTGTGTTTCAGTCAAGCTTCCTGTTCTGCTTCCCACTTGTCACTGGTGACTCCCCTCAATCCCAGCACCTCTGTGGCCTGTACCCCAGTTCTTATATGCAGAAATAAATAACATCTTTAAAAGAAAAACTGGGATGTAAGAAAGTGAACCTCTCCCCTCCCTTCTTCCTGTGAACGATGCATTCAGTTTCACGGGGTTTACACAAATCCTAAGATTAATGTTCTGTTCTGATCCAAGCAGAAATAAGTCCCCCAGGAGGCAATGAGTTTTGTCCTAGAAGCAAAATTTGACACTGGGTCACCTTCATTTTTCCTTTACTTTATCTGAGCTGGTACCAGGTCTGCTGGTGTCACATACATATGGAAGCATCTCCTACTTTCCTGCTTTGCTTGTATTGACTCTGGAGCCGGAATCTGTGTGCTTATCCCATGACTAGCTGACTGGTGAGAGATGGGCAAGTAGGAGTTCCCAATGAGAACAAAGCTCATCTCACTGATCTCAGAATAAACTTGACCTCCAAATGTTATTAGCTCAAGGAGCCCTCCTGACATCACTATGATCTAGTGTGGCAGGCCCTATCCACGCGGATTCCAGGGTCCCAGTCTGAGCAAGGGCTTGGTGGCAAGAAAGAAAATCATCCCAATGCTGAGCTGGGTTAAAAGCCTGGTTTGCTTGAGTGAATGCTCCTTCTGAGAATAATTTACATTCTGGATAAAATGCTTCAGCAATTTTCTGACTTATTTTAATGAGCTTAAAAATCTTGCACAAAAGATACATGAAGCTGATAGTGAGCTTTGGGAGCTAATTAAGAGCCACTAGCCAATGTTGCAAGGAGTTGAAGCAGGGATCCTTTCATGTGTCCAATGTAACAATGATCACTTGCCTTATTCGCCCCACTCTCCAGGGATGTATCATTACTAGGAGAGACATTTCTGTGTGGACATAGAGACCTCTCTTGCCTTGGGATGAACTTGAAATGAACTTGGACAGGCCTTGTCATCTCTGAAGCTTGCTTTCATAAACACTGAAAGATGAGGAGCCACAGCCCCAGGAATAAAAGCGGTCTCACTGTCCCAAGGCATGTTCCTCCTTCATCTGGCCCTGCTCAAGACCAGCCCTGGAGAGCATTCACAGTGTTACTGCATTGATTTGATGCAAGAAAGGACATCGATTTCAAGGACCCATTAGATAACACCACTATGATACTGAAAGTCCTTGGAAGAGAGAGGATGGCCATCCCTGGAGGGACAGCCTGACACAGGCAGACAGAGGGCCACAGACCTGTGGAGGGTGGCCTAAGGCCCAGGGGCAGTAAGGGTGATATCTTTTGCCACCTGTGTCCCCGAATTAGAGAGCAGAGAGGATGCTTGGTACATACGGAGGAGGCACACACAGGGCTCAAGCCAAGGGGTGGCGGTGGGCCCTTGGTAGCTCAGATTTCTGAAGTTCTGTATATGAGAGTCATTCAAAAAGATGCACATTAGGACCATCCTTCCTGCCCAATCTTATGTGATCCTGTCATTTCATAACAACGAGAGAAACCCTCACCTACCAACAAGGGTGATCCAATGAATAGGAGCTACTCAGACATCTGGTCAACCCCTGGTACAACTTGGGGCAGTGCAGAGAAGGGGAGAAAGAGGAATCAGGGAGCCCCCAGGCTGTGGTGCTGCCATTCTGCCAGTCCCAAGAACTACAGAACTTAGAACTTTAAAAGAAGGTGCTGTAGAATTTTGCTTGTTGTTCTAAGCATGACACTGTTGTTCCAGCTGCAGGGCCCCATGATGCAATGCTTCCAGGGCATCAACAACAGAGAGCGGGAGCTAGGAGAGAGCTTTCATGGATCAGGAACTCCTCCCTAATTTTCACCATGACCCCTGGAGGATCACCTCCACAATTCCACCAGTCTGGGAAACACTGGGAGATGCAAAGAATGTTATCGGATCCTGAACTTTGCCGATTTACACGAGCCTGGACTCCCAGCCTCATTTAAGTAGGATTCTGAATAGTAATCACGCCTCTGACTCCAAGTTGAGTGTATAGGGCTTCCCAACCCCTCTTCTCATTACTATACTTTGTTATAGAGCAGCTCGTGGTTCCACCTGTCCCACTCACTGCCTGTCATATTGGCTTCTCAAACCATCTCATTCTTTCCTGAGCTCAGGACCCATTTACTGTTGGCTTTGAGCAGTAAAGATCAAGAATTCCTTGGATGGAGATGTCTCAGCACAGACGGCGTTAAGCCAGCATGACAAACTGCCTACAACTTCTTTCCAGTGCTTTCTCCTCACTTCTCAAAATCCGCCCCCCACCCCGTTGCACCCCACCCTGGCCTCTGGAACACCGGCCCCTGCTGCTGACACAGGCCTGGGGATCACCCTGCCCTTCTGTGCCGATGCTTTTCCACCCCCTTTGCCCTTCGATTTCCCTCTACTTTTTCGTGTTTAACTCTCCCTGGGTGAAGTATCAGTGCCCACACCTGTGTTCCCAAGCCGGGGAAGAGCGGCCATTTCGTGGCCATCACTGACCTCCCTTCTGGCATCCTGGCTGCCCGTGGCCTCCAAGCCAGCCCCACGCTTCCCCACCTCTTTGCTGGCAGCATAAAAACCTCTGTCTTGAAAACTCTCTTTCTGCAACTTCAGAATCCAACTTGTTTATCCCTTAAGGTTTGACTCCAGAGGCATTTCTCCCTGGAACCTTCCCCCGCGCTTACAGACTGTTCCTTCCCACGGTCTGAAAGCATTTTGTTGGTGTCTTTCCATCTGGCTGTGCCGTCTCCGGGCTCCAGCACAGGCTTCCAGAAGGCGCTTTTATTCTGTTGTGTGTTTCTCCGACCTGTCAGAGGCCCTCCCGTGGAGGAGGCCCTGCTGCTGTTTGGACAAATGCTGAGCTGCTCAAGGTCTCAAGGTCAGAAGTCACCCCCAGGTCACCTTTGCGTTGCTCTCCCTGCCCCCCTGACCGCACTGGGTCCCTGGGTCCACCAACAGCAGCACATCCTGAGGGGGCTCAGGCTTGCGTGGCTGCCTCTGGCCATCACATCAGGGCAGAGATACCTCACACCCCGAAGTGGGATGTTTGCATGCCCAGGAATGGCAACACCAGCCCCGGCGAACTTCAGTAAATGTGTAACTCCACCGTGTACCAGCTCCTGCTGTTCAGCAAGCAGTGCGAGCGAGCATCGATCACCCCGACTTCCTGGAAGGAGTCCCAGCATGAGAGAGGCTCTGGCTTCCTTCCGCCTGGGAGGCCCGTCTGGGGCCTCCATCCCCTCTGGCTGGCCAACTGATGCAACCCCCTCCCCCCAAGCCCAGTCACAGAACAGTCTGGGAACGGCTCCATCCCCACCCGGCAGATATAAATAGGCCTCCCAGGCAGCCAGGGAAGAGGCTGCTGTGTCTCCGGACTAAAGCAGAAGGTAAGTGAGGCTTCTCCAGCCACCGCCTGCCTCTGGAGCTCCGTCCCCCTGCTCTTTAGGCTCTCTAGGGACAGCTGGGTTGTCTTCAGGAAGTAGAGGGCTGGGAGTTGGGGAAGCGCTGTGGGAAGGCAGTGCCTGAATCCACCTAGAAACCAACATCCAGGGTCACCTTTTTCGCCGTGGTCCTGAACACCGAAGACTCAGAGGCCACCTCTTCTTGATGCCAGAGGTCCAGACATGGGCTGTTGCCCCTCAGGGCCTCAGGGCCCACCTGGGTTTCACCAGAGGTGCTGCCTCTCCTCACTCTTAGGGCAGGACGGCCGGTTCCTCCTTCCCCTTCTGAGCAAGGCAGGGTCGCCGGGGCCAGCAAGAAAGGAGTCCTGGTGGCCTAGAGTCCGCCAGCCTTTCTTCCTGTATGCAGCCAAGCTAGGGCAGAGGGTGGAGCCGGGCTCGGCTAGTCCTGGGCTGGGCTGGGCCCCACAGGGCTCAGGTGAGGTTGGTCTCCTTGGGGCACAGCTGCCTCTGGGCCTGGGCTAGCAACTGGGGTCCGAAGCAGTCAAGTGTGTCACTTTGTCTCCCTGAATCTTAGCTGCTCATGCATAAAATAGGACTCATGTCAGCGCCTGGTCTTGTGAACTTGGTATAAATTAGAAGGCTCCATTAATGTGAGTGTCAACTAAAAAGGGGAATTCTTATTATTTGTTCAAGAAGCTATGCAGATGCACTATGGAGTCGGGGGCCTAGATTTGAATCCCTAGCGGGTGATGTTGATCAACTCACTGAGCTTCCCTGTTCCTCTGCAGAGACGTTCATGGACTCCTTTAACAGTGGTGTGGTTAAGCTACTCTGTGATAGTAGTTGTGACTAGCCAAGTACCTACGGTGTCCCAGGCACAGTTTTGGAAATGTGGTATATACGTCAGTGAACACAGCAGTGTGTGAGAAGCAGACAACAGCTGTTGAACACAGTAACTAAGTAGATTGCTAGACAGACAGACAGACAGATGATGCACAGTGTCACGAGGTGACCAGTGTCTGGTAAAAGGAGAGAGGAGCAGAGTAAGTGCGCTCACGGTGCCGGGCACGGTGGGGACACTCGCTTCATGAAACAGGGTGTCCAGGCAGCCTCATGAGGAAGGTGAGGCCTGTGGTGAGGACAGAAGGTGCTGATACGTGAGCAGCCCCCACGCAGCACCTGGCAACAGTGGGCATCACGTGAGCGAGAGCTGCCACCTGCTCCATGATCATTAAACCACGAGGAATGGGGGCGCCTAGAAGGAGGGGCTTGTAAAGAGGGGGTCCAGGAGGGAGAGGGCCAGGGCACCCAGAGGCCCCTTCACCCTCAGACCCTACTGCGTGCTGACGTAGGATGAAGGTGCAGCGACAGGTCACAGTTGAGAGCAAACAACAGCCTTAGCCTTGAAGATGATTCATGGAATTGCTTCACTTGGAACTGCCTTGCCGTGCAGGGCTGCAAAACAGGGGCTGCATTTCCCCGCGTGTTCCCAAAAGGCCCCACCCTCAGGACTGCAGGGGGGTGTCCTCACTCAGGTCCACGGGTTTGCACTTGGGTTTGCACAGGTCTGGTGACTCGAGTTGATTTGACCTTTATATGAGGCATGAACTAGCATGCCTCATGGGGAGATTTCATGTTCCACTTTTCCATGTCATATGGCTTCTTATGGGAACAGTGGACGGAGTCCAGGCACAGGCAGGAAGGTCAGGCTGAGGTCAGAAGTCAAAGTTCTTTTGGCCAGCTGCTGACAAGAGCAGAGCAAACACGCAATACACTGAGGTTAAATGCCGTCTGTTGAGAGCAGGTATGGGGGGCCAGATCAGGGAAAGGAAAGAGAACTGCCTGCCTAAATTGGGGTGCTTACAGAACTGCCTGCCTAAGTTGGGGTGCCTACAGAACTGCTGCCTAAGTTGGGGTGCCTACAGAACTGCTGCCTAAGTTGGGGTGCCTACAGAATGGCCTGCCTAAGTTGGGGTGCCTACAGAACGGCCTGCCTAAGTTGGGGCTCCTGGGCAGGCACAGATGGGCAGGAAAGACTCACATAGCTCTGAGTCCATGGTGCCATCCCGAAGCTCCGGGGAGGCCCTGGAGCTGTTCTGGGGGGTGCTTTGGGGTTAGAGATCGGGAGGTTGAGGAGGCTAAGAGTAACATGGTAAGCGAGTTACTTTACCCTTCACAAGAAAGGAGCGAGAAGCGGGATAAGTTTTAGACCTGGGAAACCACCTGATTGCTCCAAGAAGATACAACATATGCCCACAGTGGAATACTACTCAGTCAAAAAGATAAACGCATGCATTTGCAGCAACGTGGACGGAGCTAGGAGGGCTTATATTGGGTGACATAGCCAGACAAAGGTAAATACCAGATTGTGTCCCTTATAGGAGGAACACAGGAAAATAAACAGAGGGTCGGACAAAAGCAAACTTTAAAACCGGGCTTTTAGAAGGGCAGGGACAGGGTAAAACAGGAGGATTGGGGCGCACAGTGGACTATGGTGGAAGACTGTGGTGCTTCAGTGGCGGCAGGGCTGTGGCGCCTCCACCTGGGGACAGTCCCACACTGACCACACACTAGCAAGGATGTATAATAATGGTACTTCACAAACAGCACTAAAAAGAAATGAGGGGCCTCCCTGGTGGCCAAGGGGTTAAGTCTCAGCACCATCACTGCTAAGGCCTGAGTCCATCCCCAGCCAGGGAGCTGGCCCACAGGGCGCACCAGGCCTCTCCTGTCTCCCTGCTGCTCCCCTCAGCGGAAGATGTCAGCCACCTGCCTGTTCTGCTCCCCATTCTGTCTCTGGTGAGTCCTCTCACCCCCTATACCTCTGGCCTACACCCCAGTTCTTCCACACAAAAATTAATTAACTAAAATCTGATTAAAAATGTTTTGGAACTAAAGGAGCCCTGTCTAGCGAGGAAAGTGGGAGGAGGAGCTGCGTGGCCAGCGCAGCTGAGCGTCTTCCCTTCCGGGACCCCAGGCTGCCCCCAGTCGCAGGGCTTGAAGGCACAAGTGTCGGAGACCTGCGCACTCACCCCTGGCCACCTGTGCTCAGGACTGCGATGGCGACTCTAAACCACGGCTCCATAACCGAGCCAGGGACCGGGAGTGTTTAAAACGCCATCACCTCCCTGGTGCAGACCTGTTGTCAGGCTGTTGCTGTTGGTGCTTCATGGGCCACCTGGAGCTCCCGCTCTGTGGGTGTCAGTGTGAGCTGTTTTGGGGTGGAGTCTGATGAGAGATGCCCGGGTTTCAGGCTGAACCCCTGGTGCTGGATTCTGTACACTCTATGTCCAGGGAGAGATTAAAAGCCCATTCCCAGGCCACACTCCAGGACCGTTTAATTGGGGGTGAGGGTGGAGACCCAGGCCTTCACAGCCCCCACAGTTTCTCAGGTGAGTCCCCTGGGCCTGGAACTGAGAATAGCCTGAGAGTAAAAGCAGGTCTGAATCCCTTCTCTGTTCTGTGTTTTTTCTGTGCCCTTGGGAGTGTCTCTACCTCTCAGAACGTCCACTTCTTTGTCTGCAGACATGAAAGCAAAATGACTAGCGAGGATGAGATAAGGCCTACGTGAACAATCTCTACCCTAAATCACACACCTCAGCTGGGGAGGGAAGTGGGTCTTTCCTGGTTGAAAGGACAAGGCTGGACGTTTCTTGCCCCACTGACTTATCTCTCCACACGGACCTGCTGTCTGGACACCTTTGACTCTCAGGACAGAGGCAGAACCCTCTATCACATACTACTGTCCTCAGGCTGCCAGAGTGGGTGCCGTGACTGGTGGCCTGGCCAGCAGAGATCTGGTCCCTTATGAGCTGGGAGCTAGAAGGCCAGGACTACGGTGTCAGCAAGGTTGGCTTCTCCTGATGCCTCTGTCCTTGGCGGGGAGACAGCACCTGTCCCCCTGTGTCCTCACACGGTCTCTCTCTCATCTCTTCTTCTTATAAGGGCACACATGGGACAGGATTAGAATCCACTCCAATGACCTTATTTAACCTAAATGGCCCTTTTAGACTCTGTCTCCAAATATGGACACATTTTGAGGTTCTGGGGATTAGGACTGCAATGTATGAATTTTTAATTTTTTGCATAAATATCATGAGCCTCGATTGTTCAAAGATTTCCCTTAAAGACAAATTCAAATGTCTCCACATTATTCTTTTATTAAATATTTGATTATTTGATTATTGACCGAAGCATGATGCCACTGATTAACACAAGGTAATAATAACAGCCACTCACAAAGCTTGGGAAGACATTGGTATTTTTACTTGATCTAATGGTCAACTCAGTTTTAAGATCTGCCTATCTCCTTAACATTAAGACATCCCCACCACTATAAAATCTAACTACAATGAAATCAACCCCCTCCTAAACAAAGCCCTGCAAAACCCCAGCTCGGCCCAAGTAACGTGGGTTTTGCACCTCGACCCTGTAGAAGTCTTCCATGGCGCACTGATTCCATTTCTTCTTCTCTGTTGTCTGTGGACGGGCCGGGAACATCTCCTGAGCTAAATGGGTGCAAGGAATATGGGAAAAACTAAAAGTCTGGTTAGCGACTAGTTAATAATTGCCTTTCACCATCACAAAATGGTATTTCAGGGTACGCAGAAGCGAGCGCCCCGACTAGAGATGACGCCTGCCGGCGTGCGTCTGCTGGCCGCCGTCTTTTGCCTGCTGAGCTGGGCTGGCCTGGCTGCCGGGGACCGGGTGTACATACACCCCTTCCACCTCCTCGTCTACAGCAAGAGCAGCTGCGACCAGCTGGAGAAATCCCATGCAGAGACACCCAGCCACCCGGCCTTCGCCCCGGTCCCGATTCAGGCCAAGACATCCCCTGTGAATGAAGAGGCGCTGCGAGAGCAGCTGGTGCTGGCCACCAAGAAGCTGGAGGCAGAAGACAAGATGAGGGCCGCGGAGGTGGGGATGCTGCTCAACTTCATGGGCTTCCGCATGTACAAGCTGCTGGGCGAGGCCTGGGGCGGGGCTGCGGGGGCCGTGTTCTCCCCCACTGCTCTCTTTGGGACCCTGGCCTCTTTCTACCTGGGCGCCTCGGACCCCACGGCCAGCAGACTGCAGGTGTTCCTGGGTGTCCCTGGGGAGAACAAGGGCTGCACTTCCAGGCTGGATGGGCACAAGGTCCTCTCGGCGCTGCAGACCATCCAGGGCCTTCTGGTCACCCAGGGCGGGGCTCACGGCCAGGCCAGACTGCTCCTGTCGACCGTGGTGGGACTGTTCACGGCGCCGGGGCTGCGCCTGAAGCAGCCATTTGTGCTGGGCCTGGCTCCCTTTGCCCCGGTCACTCTCCCACGCTCCCTGGACTTGTCCACGGACCCGGATCTGGCTGCCGAGAAGATCAACAGGTTCATGCAGGCAGTGACAGGGTGGAAAATGAACAGACCCCTGACCGGAGTCAGTCCAGACAGCACCCTGCTCTTCAACACCTATGTCCACTTCCAAGGTAGGACAAACCCTCCGTGGGCTCTGCCAGGGGGCAGTTCTCAGTCTCTGTGGTCTGAATGAGTAGGGCCAGGCCACGGAGATGGCAGGGTGGTGGACGTGAGGAAGTACCTGCAGACCCCCTCAGCGGGGATGGCAGAGGCTGACCCAGTGGGCGCCCTGGTTGAGCAGCTCTGTGCAGTTACTACGCTGCATCCTTTCACCTTCGTCACTAATCCCCTTGTGATGCAGTGAAGCGTTGCCACTTTTTTCACTTACTGGCAAAGCAAATGTCTCAGAGAGACAAAGTGACTTGCTCAAGATGGCAGTCACAAAGGGGGACTCTGGGAAGGAGACCCAAAGCTTCTGACCCTCCGGCTCAGCTCCTCGCTCAGTAGAGCTGGGGTTCCCGTCCGTTAGGAGGGATGCTACCGAGAAATCCCAATGACACGAGCTCAGTCAACAAATAGTCATTGAGGTATTATTACTTGTGAGACTCTGGTCTGGGTTCTCATTCGTGCCGAGTAAGAAGGCTGTGCAGTGCAGGTCCCAAGCCCGGGCTACTTGTTCAACAAGGGAGATGAATCTGTGGGCGAGTTCCTGGACCACAAGACGGCAGAGGCAGGTGTGGTAAGAAGGTTCTCTGGGGCTCAGAGCACCCAGAAGAGGGTTGCTAGGGAGGGGACGGAGGGGCTGGGCGACAAGGGGACAGAGCTGCTTTGAAGAGAGCAAGCAAGTAAGCAAATGCTTCCAAGTTGAGGATGAGGAGCAAGAACAGGAGCAGCCTTGTTTGACCAGAGTTGAGGAGAGCGTGGGACCCGAGCGGGCAGGCCTGGAAAGGTGGACGGGGGCCAGAATTCAAGACTGTGTGTGGTGCTGGGAAGGTTGGGAGTTCATTGGCGAGTAGGTGTTGGAGAGGAAGAGCCCACTCAGAGGTCATCCCGGCAGCCTGTGCTGTGTGGATTGCAGGCAGGAGGTGCCCGGGAAGGTTATGGAATATTGCAAAAACTGTCCCAGGAACATGTGCGAAAATAGTGACTTTGCAGATGGATGGGTAGGTCGGGGGACACGTGTGAGGGGCGTTGCAGAGACTCAGGTGTGACCTTGATGACGAGGAGACAATGTGTACCCTTGTGGGGGACAGGCAGCCAAATGAGCCAGCAGCCAGCAGGTAACGCGCCCATCCCATTGTAATACCCCTGAGGTCTGTGAAAGCTCTGGGCAGCGTCAGTCTGCCTTGGGGTGCAGGGGAAAGTGAGAGAGCCGAGACCGCCCAGGACCCAGCACTGTCAGGTCCCGGCAGCAGAGCCCAGTGCAGGGGCCACCCAGCTCGAGGCCACACTCCATGGCGGCCAGGGGGCCCACGGGCTTGGCCCAATGTTCCTCAGGGGAGCTGTGGGAGAAACTCACGGACAGCGTCATGTCCCCCCAAAAGGTAAAGCCAGAAAACCACTTTTCCAAAATGAGGTCTCATTTTGGAAAAGCGCCTGTCTGCATGATTCATTTGGTAGAGCGAGACAGAGGGAGAGGAGGGGGACGCTTAGAAGGACAGAAGCCCTGTGCTCGTCCAGCCCCACCACGTCCCGGCCTCTGCTCTTGCTTTGGAAGCTCTCCCTCTGCGAGTTTCTGTCTAGTGGGCATGCACACCGTCCTGCCCGCCACGGTGTGTCTGTTTCTGGGGTGCCCCTTCTGGTACCACTGCCTACTGGCCAGGCCACACTAGGGGCCTGGCAGCCGACGCGCTCCAGGCTGGCCTCCGTCCAGCGCTTGCTGTCACTCCAGCTGGGCGCCTGCCCTGGCAGCTTCCAGACACCAGTTGACTTAACCCTGAGAGATTTACTTAACTTCTGGGTGAGGGCAGGGCACTGAGCTTTGCAGGTGGGTGGGAAGGAAGGGGAAGCGCCTGTTCTAGACTCCAATGTCTCTTTGCAGGCAGCATCCTTCTATTGCTTTAGTTCGTTGATGGAACAATATCTTTTTTCCCTCTAAACAAACTGACCAGACCTCCGGGCAGACTTGGGCACGTGGGACTCCCACCACGGTAGGGCCATGGAGAAGGAGGTGCTGCAGCTGCTTGCTCACCCACCCTCCTGGAGAGGATGGGAGTGGGCGCACACTTACTCGGTCCAAGCTAAAAGGAAGCCCCTGGTCTCCCCCTCCCTCTGAGGGCCCCAGGAGTCAGAGCCAGCCAGCAGGCTTGCTTGCTCCCACCATTCCCACGCTGGCCCGCCTGCCCCGGGAGGTCTCTGGCTCCATAGAAAGGGGGTGCACCCTGACTATCAAGCTGCCTCTGCTCAGACTCTCCAGGGCCAGATGCCCGGGGGCACCTTGTCTTTCTAGGAGAGGGCCACAGAGGGAGAGGGTGCGTGGGTGTGATGGTCACACAGAGACCCAGTTCTGCGGGCAGCTCCCCCTGTCCTCCAGGTCCAGGAGAAGTGGTGCGCATCACCTCTGCCCCAGTGTGCTGGGCACAACCAGGTGGGCTGTCTGTCCCTAGGCTGTCAATCCCAGGCACTGAGAAGTGCAGCCGTCATGCCAGGGTGCCCTGCGTTCTAGGCCCGTGAGGTGGGGGAACACTAGTGCCGTCCGCAGTCCGCACTCCGTCAGGGCTGGCTCTGAGTGAAGGTTAGAAGTGGGCTCAGGCAGAGGGCGCAAACGGGGGCAGGGCGCAGGTGCTCCCCTGGGCAGTGCTGCACCTGTCCTGAACTGGAGCGTGTAATACCCCCCAGCAGCCAGTGTGAACCCCAGTGTGACCCATGGATGCTGGGGGATGATGCGGGGTCAATGCAGGGCCATCGGTTGTGACAAATGTCTCTCTCTGGGGGATGTTGATAATGGGGGAGTCGAAGCGTGAGTAGGAGCAGGGGAATAGCTTCCTCAGATTCCTGTGAGCCTAAAACTGCTCTAAAAAAGAAAATGTATTAAAAAACAGGGCCCTCCCTGGTGGCGCAGCGGGTTAAAGCATAGCACTGAGAATCTAAAGCCGCTTCCACATGAGTTCGATTCCCGCCTGCCCCGGAGGTGACCACATGGCGTGGCAGACCTCTCCTGACCCGCCCGCTGCTCCCCTCAGCAGTGTACTTTGGCGGTTGAACTGTTTCTGCTCCCCACTCTGTCTCTGGTGAATCCTCTCACCACCCCTGCACCTCTGGCCTGTACCCAAGTTCTGTATGCACAAATAAATAAATCTTTTAAAAAGAAAGGAAGGAAGGAAGGAAGGAGGGAGGTAGGTAGGGAGGGAGGGAGGGAGGGAAGGAAGGAAGGAAGGAAGAAAGAAAGAAAGAAAGAAAATGTATTAAAAAACAAAAGTGACGTGGCAGACCATGACTTTCCGGCCAGGTCGTATCATTGGCATTTGACCGGTTGGTTGCGACTGGCCCATTCCCTGAGCTCTCAGGGCTTCCTCTGTGGGCCTCAGTGAGGTGACAGGTGAAGTCCCAGGTTCCCACACGCCCGTGTCTTCAACATTGCCAGCCAATGCGCTCAGATTGGGCTCGGTGATTGGGAAGTACAGAGTGGTCTGGGTGCTCTGGGTGACCTGGGGTGCTTGGGAGAGAGGTGGGGCAGGGCCCTGAGCCCCCCTAGGTCTCTAGCTGCCGCCCCCAGTACTGCCTCACCGCCCCTTCTCCTCTTGCCTCCAGGAAAGATGAAGGGGTTTTCCCGGCTGCCTGGGCCCCAGGACTTCTGGGTGGATAACAGCACCTCAGTGGCGGTCCCCATGCTGTCGGGCACGGGCACCTTCCGCCACTGGAATGATGCACAGAACAACCTGTCCATGACCCGCGTGCCGCTCAGCGAGAACGCCTGCCTGCTGCTCATCCAGCCCCACTGCCCCTCCGACCTGCGCAGGGTGGAGGCCCTCGCCTTCCAGCACGACTTCCTGATGTGGATGAAGAACCTGTCTCCCCGGTATGTCTCCCAGAAACTGTTTGGAACCCCAGGGCTGCTCCCCCTGCAGAAGGGTAGTGTGTGGGTCCTTCTGTCCCTGGCAGGATGCCACGTGGCAGGTTTGGGCTGTGCCTGGCCAGGGAGCAGGAAGACCCGTGGTGGCACAGGCCTGCTGGTGCTCCAGAGTGGGAGGCCTGGCCCCGGCATCTATCATCTCTCTCTCTCACCATATCAACTCTGTGTCTGCACTCTGGAGGGGTCCAGGAGAGGGGAAGCATGCTTTTCTTTGTGATTATATTTACCCACCAGACTGGAGACCGAGACGTATTTCGACAAGCCCTGTGGGAGTGGCCCTTTTAAATGTGTGTGTGTGTGTGTGTGTGTGTGTGAGAGTGAGAGAGAGAGAGAGAGAGAGAGAAACATCATTCTTCATTGCTGTACAATGTGTGATTTCCCTGTGAAATTCCCACACCAGTTCACCTGTGCACCATCACCGTAGTCCCTTGTGCTCTTCCCACTGCTATCCTGATCCTTCTCTCTCTTCCTCCCCTACAGAATGTCTCTGAACTATAGTTGTCTGATGATTTTTATTTTTACTTTATTATGATTACACCCCACCCCCCACGCAATTCCTTATTTGGTTCTTGTACATTCCTCCTATAAATGAGACCATCTGATATTTTTCTTTTTTTTCTGTCTTATTTCACTGAGCATAATCCCAGTTCCATCCATGGTGCTGCAAAGGGCATGTATTTATCCTTTTTGGTTGCTGAGTAATATTCCGTTGGGTAAATATACCACATCTTCTTGATTCAGTCATCTACTTCTGTGCTTTTGGGTTGTCTCCATAGCTTGCTTAATGTAAATTGTGCTTCAGTAAGCAGAGGAGAATAGGTATCCTTTTGAACTGATGTTTTTGAGTCCTTTGGGTAGATTCCTAGGAGTGGAATTACTGGGTCATATAGAAGCTCCATTTTTTAGTATTTTGAGGAATTTCACACAGCTTCAATAGTGATTGGACCAGTTTGCAGCCCCACCAGCAGAGTAGGATAGTTCATTTTTCTCTACATCCTCGTCAGCATTTGTTGTTGCTAGTTTTTTTAGTATGTGCCATTCTCACTGGGGAAAGGTGGTATCTCATTGTGGTTTGATTTGCATCTCCCTGATTGCATTAGCACCCGGGTTCCCCAGCACCATTTGTTGAACAAACTGTCCCTTCTCCACTGCATATTCTTTGCCATCCCACATACGTACACAATTAGCTGCATCTCCAGAGTTTGGACCCCTCTCGGAGGCTGGGGATGGAGCTTTCTTAGGGTGCTGCTCTGAATCCAGATCTCCCTTGTTTTGCTGCCCAAATTATTTTCTCCTCTTTCCTGTGGTGATGGAACAAAAAATTCCCTCCATGCTTGCACCAGGCTTGTCGGGCACCAAGGGACACTGGTGACCTGCTGAGGCCAGTTCCTTTGTTGTGGTTATCATTATTGTTAATCATGGTAAATGTGTAACACGAACTTTACTGCTTACGCCATTTTTACATGTTTAATTGTACTAAACACATTCATGTTGTTTTGCAGCCATCACCAACCTTTATCTCTAGAATCTGTTCATTATCCCAAACAAATTTTGTCCAGTAAACACCAGTTCTCCACCTGGCCGCCCCTATCCTCCAGCCCCTGTTCCCACCACTCTACACTCTGTCTCCATGGACTTGACTGCTTGAGGTGCCTCACATAAGTAGAGTCAGACAATAATTGTCCTAGTGTGACTGAAATTTCATTTAGCGTTTTGCCTTCCAGCCTCACTTATGCATCAAACTTTCCTTTTTTAAGGCCAAATAATATTCCATTCGATGGGCATACCACACTTTGTCTATCTATGCATCCATCCATTTGGGTCACTTATACCTTTTGGTTGGTGGGGGTACCATAGCCATGGAGAGGGGACTGTCGGCCTGTAGGGCTCTGTGCATCACTGGAGACAACCATGGCTTGGGATGCCAGGGGCTGGCAGAGGCTCTAAGTGCAGGTCCACGGAGTTGGTGTAAGCAATGGGTTCTGCACAGAGGCTGACGCTGTTCATTTGTCCCATGTCTCTATTTTCCAAGGGGTCTCTCCATCAAGAACACTGCCAAAGGTAGATAGTAAGACAGGCAGCACTATTAGGATAACAGCAATTGTTAATTATCCAAGGCGTACACCTTCAGTTAACTTGAATAAATAAAGCAAAGACAACTTTTCACACTCAGTCACCCAGAGCTCTTTGCTGTTAGATGCTGTGCATCCTCCTCAGAGGGTTTCAGAGGACATGAGTTATTTTATTCTATCTGTTGCTGAAAGTTTTTTCAAGGAAACCTAACTGGGTGACGACATAAACTCCCCTTCCTTGGGGACATTTGACACTCTCGGGCTTCCCATGATACAGCCCAAGACCTCACAGTGGGCCACTGAAAACCCTCCTAACTGTGTGTCACTTCGCCAGGGTCATCCGCCTGACCATCCCCCAGCTGGTGCTACGAGGCTCCTATGACCTGCAGGACTTACTCACCCAGTCCAAGCTGCCCACCCTGCTGGGTGCCGAGGCGAACCTGGGCAAGATCAGTGACGCCAGCGTCAGAGTGGGAAAGGTACCATGTGGGCCTGACATGGGTTCTGTTTCCACAGGGAGGGGGCTTTAGGGGAAAGGACCACAGAGGAAGCTTCCGCAGGAAGTTCAGAGTAGGAGGGCGGCCAGAGCATGGCGGGGTGTGCACCTCTGCATGGGGGAGAAGTGGCTGGGGCTTACTGGGGCTTTGCAGGGACAGGTGAGCATGGCAAAGCCCTCCCTACCATATGTTCTGAGATAGCTTTGGGGTCTCCCTGGGGCCTAAGCAGGGGTGCTGCTAGCATCTAGAGAGCCAGTGACCCAGGCCAGTGCCCGATCATATGGCACCTTGCTACAGGGACATGCTCAGTGTACTGGCTGGGCAGCTGCCAGCGTACAGATAGCTGAGTCTGGATGCTCCGGACACCAGGGGAGGTGCAGAGGAGAAAATGGGGTGTCTCAGTCCTGGCCTGGAGAGCACTGCAGGGAGAGCCCTGTGCTGACTGGGCTCAATATGTGGACTGACCCAAACATGGGTGGGCCACATCTGAAGCTGGCTGGGATGTGGAGCCCCAGTGGGCTGAGGGGCGCCTTAGGGAGGTGAGCTGGGTGGAGTGAGCATGTGAGCATGCCCTGAGGGGCATGTGTGCTTCTTGGGCAACACGCACAGCCACCCTGCACCCTCCCCCCACTCCCCCTGGCCTCCGAGAGTGAGCCCCATGCTTGCTGTTTTGCAGGTGCTGAACAGCGTCCTTTTTGAACTAGAAGCAGACGATGGAGAGCAGCCCACGGAGTCTGCCCAGCCACCACTCAGGCCCGAAGCACTGGAGGTGACCATGAACACCCCGTTCCTGTTTGCCCTTTACGAGCGAGACTCGGCTGCTCTCCACTTCCTGGGCCGCGTGACCAACCCCCTGGGCACCGCGTGAGGCAGCCCTGGGAGGCCCAGCCGCTGTCTCCCACCCCTCCCTCCAGGCAGCTGAGAGCCGGGAAGAAGCCTTCTGGAAGCAGGCGCTGCGTGAGAGCAGCGGAAACTGCCTCGGGTCTAGCTTGGGGAGCAGGGGTGGGTGCCTGCGAGCAGGTTTAGCATAGACTACTATTCTGGGAAGAGTTCCAACAGACCAACCTGTTTGTGAAGCCAACACGGCTTCCTTTTAAATTGGGAGCAGACATTAGGCTTAAAAATTAAAATATACATTTGCCTTAGGTTTTTATTTAGTTTATTGAACCTGAGCGTGACTCACCTCAGTTGTCTTTTGGCTTCTTGGTTTTTCTCCTCTACCACCAGTTTCGATATGTGCGCTCTTTTGAAAAACACATATGAAAAATAGAGCCATCTGAATTTGTTAGAATGTAACAGCGTGGCTGCTTAACCTTTGTGTTATTAATAAATGCTTTGTAACTGTGAGCAAAAGGGAAAACTTCATTTTTCACTTAGCAGCAGAACACACCCAGAAAGTTTTCCTCTGTCATCTACGGAAACTGACTTTTAAGAGAAACGACCTATGTTGCTAGCAAATCCTCAAATATCGTGGTTTTGTTTAACATCGTTTGGGGTGCTGGGAACAACATTGAGTGAAATGACTATTCCAGGACTTGTTGAAATTTGCAATTTAGCTGATGGACGATCCATCAAAAGTGTTTTCTGGAACTGTAAGAGGGAAGGAACCGAAGGCCAGCACCATGCCCCTCCAGGGACACGGGGTGACAGCTGCTCACTCTGTGCCGAGACAGCGGAAGTAGAGAAGGAAAACTCTCTTGGAAACATGTGCACATCCCAGTCTCTGGCACACATTGCACCTGTGCCCCCCACAGGCTTAGAACCCCACTTTCTTAATCTGGGGCAGGGTTGAGGGACGCAGACACCAGGCAGGCCCGTGCAGCTTGCTGGAGAGGGCGAGGATGCTCATGACACACACAAAGCCTTCTTTCTTCCTGCCCTCCATAAGTCCTGAAGTGACTCAGTGCCAGCTAGTGACAAGAGCTGAGAGGCACAGGCAACGGAAGGGAGTTGGGAAGCACGCGGTAGGCGCGGGCATGGCAGAGCGGACCTAGCTCTTTCTCGTGTGCCTTCATGGGCATAAGCAGAAGCCCGTGTTTTGTTTGGGTGGGAACTGCCCTCCCGTGCCCAGGCCTGACCCTCCACCCTAGCTATGCTCCGGGGGCCAGAGCCCACTGGAGGGAGCTGTGAGGATGGATGGGGGGCTGCTTCTTTGACTGCGCCGGGCCAGCCCAGCACATCACCCTTCAATAGCAACTTCTTTCCTCACTGCACCCCTGCACCTCCCTAGCTCCAGTGCCAAGGGAAGAGTTCGTCCTGAGCAGCCTGGTGGGCGTGAACAGCCTGACGAAGCTTATGCTCTGTTATGCCAGGCACACGGGAGGCAGCAGGCTGGGCGCCTGGGCAGGAGGCCCTGCTCCAAATGTTTATCACTGTGTGCCTGGGAACACGTCACTTACCGTCCATGAGCCCCGCTGCCCTTATGTGTGAAACAGAAAGTGCTTGAGGGGATAAATGAGGAAGAACTCGTCCATACGAGACTCTGACCCCCGGCACACCTAGGAGTCGCATTCCACACAGGGTGCAGCAGGTGTCCTGTGGGCCCTGCGGTGGCTCAACTGCGGCCCGCCGGGTCTGCACGAGGCCTAGTTCCCAGAGCCTGTGACAGTGACCCTGCATGGCAGGGGGGCCTTGCAGATGTGATAAAAGCAAGGAGCTCGAGGGGTCGGGGTTCCCTCGATGCAATCACGTATGTCCTGATAAGAGAGGGATGGGGGAAGACGTGAAGACTGAGAGTGATGTGATGTGGGCAACACACCTTGTGACGTGGGCCACGGGCCCAGCAGTGAGGAGGGCTCTGCCCTTCAGCACTGTCTTCAGGGGCTAGAGCTTGTCATTTCAGTAAGGCCAGTGAGCTGACCAGGGCCATTGACACCTGAGGTGATGAAATGCCCCCAGTGGAAGTTTCGGAAAGCACCTCAGTTTGCACTCCCTTTGGGAGACAGCCTGCACCCACTTGTCTTTAAAGCTGAAGGTGAAGACTGATGCTGGGAGGACTTTCAATTCCTGGCACCTTTCCTTCCCATCACTTCCAGGAGCCCCCCAGACAGGCCATAGGAAGTAATGACAGCTCTAGTTCACATGACTACTCACCTCTTTCCAGGGTGCAAAGGAACCCTCATCACCCCCAGCCCTCCCAAGATGGACACAGGAGTGACTGCCGTGGGGATGCATGGAACACTGCCCCAGAGCCCTGCTCTCTTTGCTGCCTGCAGCCGGCTGCCCCCAGGGGCCCTGCCCCTGCCTGGGGTCATCAGTCCTGGGCAGGGCCTCTCCTCACCTGGGGGCAGTCCCTGGGGGTCTTCGGGGCACCAGTTTTACTTGGGCTTGTCTTCACTACACCCAGCGTTCCCTGGAACTTCCACCCTCAAAGGGCCGTGATGGGCGCTCAGTGTGTGGCTGGGTAGGTGCCTGGACCAGGCAGCACAGTTGCAACAGCACCCCCAGGAGTATATGAGAAATGCAAACAGCCCCAGCCCGACCTCCTGGATCAAGCCTGCATGTTTATAGGCCAATGCACGCTAGAGCTGAGGAAACACTGCAGTCATAGGCAGAATCTTCACTCCAAGTACAGGCTTCTAGAAGGGGTGGGGCTCCCCAAATAGGCCCCACTGCTCGGACCCACTCTCAGGTAGAGGATTCATCCTCCAGTCAGACCTGTACCCTGGCATTTCTCGTTTCTTTTGTGATTCCTGAAACAGCTGCAAATGAAGAACACCCCTCCACCCCCGCCCCCCCCTGTGTATTGACTTGAGTCAGAGCAGCTTTCCCACCCCCCTTCATTTTACAAATACCAGTGGGGTGCCAATTGTGCCGGTAGCTGTGTGCTGGGCACCTGAGTCTGCACCTCCCCCCACCAGTGATGACATCCTGGGTTGTAAATCAAGGATTTGGAATCTCCAGTATGGACAAGAGCATTGCTTCTCACAACTAGAGAAAGAGAACATTTGGGGTTTAAATTTTATTTTAAAGCAACTGGCAGTGGACTAATGGATTTCCCCTGCTTGCCAGACACCACGGGCTTCAGCAGTTGCTGGGAGTGAATGTGACCAGCCTCCTCGGTTCTGGGGCTCTTTCGTAAATGGAAACTGGGTCAGGACGTTCTAAGCATACAAAGCTCCAACATTTCACTCAAAACAAAAATATTCATTCTAGGGGTTTGCTTCCCTGAAATACGTCTTCAGAAAGTCCTGTCTCCCTGGAGTGGCAGAGTGCTTACCCATAGAAAAATAACTATTCAGTCCTCGCCTTCCATCTGAGATTTTGGCAGGGCCTGGCACTGGTGGGGGTTGCTTCTCACAGCAGCCGGTGAGTAGCAGTTCCCGCATCTCACCACATTTAGAAAATGAAAACGATTTCTGTTGGCTACTCATTTGGCAGCGAACCCCATCCAAACCAGCGTGAGGCTGCTTCAGACTTTGTAGTGGAGAAGTTCATGGTTGTATAGTGTGTGGTGTGAGCGTAGTGTGGGATGTGTGTTGTCTGCAGAGGGTTATGTATGTGGTGTGTGTAGAGTGCATGTGTGTGATGCGTATAATGTGCATGGCGTGTGCAGCGTGTAGCGTGTAGTGTGTGTCGAGTGTAGGGTGGTCCGTGTGTTCCACGTGCAGTACGTGGCGTGTGTCGTCCTAACTGTGTGTGTGGTCGGCAGTGGCTACTGCAGAGCCTGCTGGGGATTTCACAGGGCACACGGGTTAGGAACCCTTTTGACGTTCTAAAATGGGAAAAATTTAGGTCACTTAACATGCACTGAAGGTTTTAGAGGTAGACTGCGGATTTGATCATCACCCAAGTGACTTTTCTCTAACACACCTTTTGTTTTTTTTGAGCAGTTTTTTTTAAAAAATAATATAATAGTTTATTTTTACATCATTTTGTGCCTTTTCTCATCTCAATTGCAATTCCCTTGGGTTTCCCATGTGCCATCACCATAGTTGGGTGCATTTCCCTTCCCCCACTGTTTTTGATCCCATTTCCCACTCCATCCCCATAAAATGTCTCTGGCATATAGCCGTTCATTATTACTATTATTTTCTCGCCGGGCCGTTATACTTCTAGAGCAGTTTTAAGTTCACAGCAAAATTGAGCAAGTACAGAGTTCGCATATGGTCCCCTGCCCTCCCCCCAACAAAACCTCCCCCATTCTGAGTGGGACACTTGTCACAGTCGATGAATCGACATTGACATGTCACTATCCAGAGGACAGTGGGGTCACTCTTGATGCATATCTACGGGCCTGGACAAATGGACCATGACATTATCCCACCATTATAGCATACAGCATATGGGGTGATTGGAAAAGCCATAACATATTTTTTTTCTATTTTTCAAAGGCCATTTATTTATATAAAGATCAAAAATCAATCAATATGCTACCCATTTTGTTTGATAACCTTTCGCCATCTTTCAGTGAGCGTCATCATTCCTCATTCATAGAAAGACCTGTCTTTGTGGCAAAAAAAGTGACAACAAGGTGCTGATTTCTAGCCTCACCTGAACTGAACATTATTACACACCAGCAGGCTTGGAGAGAACGAAACAGTCGTCAGTCTGATGGTGCAGGGTCAGGAAAGTGTGGTGCATGTGGTAACACGTCCCATACAAGCTCCAGGAATTTTTGATGGGTGTCAAATGTGTGTGTGGTCTCACGCTGTCGTGATGGATCACAACTCCTTTGATTGACCTATGAGCTCTGGACATTTCTGGGTGGTGGACTTGTTCAAATGTCCAACTGTGAACAGTTACATTCAAACTGATTGCTTGGTTCCTTGATAGGAACTTGAAAATACACCTTTGAAATCCCACCACACCAACAGCGTAACCTTCCTCTGATGACTATCTGATTTTAATGTTGCTTGAGGCGAACTATCCTGTCTGGACCAAGACCAGCTTGCTCACGCACATTGTTGGAAACAATTCACTTCATATCACCAGTTATCAGTAGCTTCAGAGAGAATTGTTTCCTCATGTTTAACGAGCATACCAGTGTTTATTCACACCATCAAATGAACTTTCAGTTCTCAACTCGTGGATGTTCAGTTTCTGCTCTCTCGTGTTGTGTGACATGGGTTTGACTCGATCACTGCCATTTCTGTCATCAACCTCCGTGGGCCTCCCCGATCAAGGAGTGTTGCTGAGATAAAAATCACCATCATGGAATTCCGTGAACCATCTTATGCACTAACATTTTCGTAGCGCACTGTTACCGTAAACTTTATGCAACTTTTCACAAGCTTGACAGGTGTTCTTCCCTTTATGGAAGTAAAATAGTAAAAGATGGTAAAAATGCAGTTAGATCTTCTATCCTCTTCTTGTAAAATCTCTAAAACAACCAAATTGCTCAATTTCTTTTAGAATAAAGCTAGAACTATCAACTGTCAAATAACATAGATGCGAATGACTCTAGTTCTTCAAAAAATGGAGACTCGTGCAAGCGCCACCTGTTGCAAAAGTGCATGGTGACTTGACTGACAACCCAGTAGTGTCACTGCACTAGAGTCCTCTGTGCATGGTTCACCTATTCATACCCCCTGCCTGGCCACTGGCAACCACGGATCCTTTCGCTTTTCCAGAATGTAATAGTTGGAACCTTTCAGGAGGTCTTCTTTCAACTAGTGGCGTGCTTCCATGGGTTCTGCTGTGTCTGTGTCTCCTGTGACTTGATAGCTCATTTCCTTCTAGTGCTCAATAAAGTTCCATTGTCTGGATGCAGCATTGTTTACCGTAACACTTAGGTACTGAACGACATCTTGGTTGCTTCCAAATTTTTGGCAATGATGAATAAAGCTGCTCTAAACTGGTGTGCGGGTGTTTGCGTGGTATTTTCCTCACGTGATTTTTAGAAGTGACAATAAAAGCAGAGAAACACTGGTGACTTGAGGGATTCCCCAACACAGTGGATGTAGGATGTCAGCGAGTCCATCTCTTCAAAGAGGTGGGGGTGTGACGTGGCCCTCATCCTGTCCTTCAAGTCACCTCATTCTTTGGTTAAGAGTTTGCTACAGGGGGACAGAGAGGGATCAGGAGGGAAGAATGTGGGAGCTATGGTGATGACAGGTGGGGGAGGGGAAGAGTAAACATTGTTATAAAATGAATAATGTAAATAGCTATATAAATAAATAAAGTTCACTACTGAAAGTCTCCCTTTTAAGTTTGGCTTAATGGGTCCAGCCCAATCTTTGATTTAGGCAAATCTGGCTCCACTAGTGCAGCTACAGCCTTCTGTAGACCCTTGTGGCCGGTATCACAAGCTTCCCATTATGGCTGGTTCTGGTTCCTTGGAGCTCTGGGGATTAATCTGCTTGCTCCTATCTGGGAACCCTTTCCTGGCCTTGATAACCTCCCACACAGAGCACCAATCTTCCCTCCACGACAAACAAATCACCCTCTGGGAATCCCATTACTCCGCCCTCCTCTTCCAAGTTCTAGGCTCCACGGCATCCCCCCCGCTCAGGGAGTCGCCAGCTCCTGGGTGCTCCAGAGCTGGGAACAGCCTGCACGCGGGATGCTGGGCAGTCACAGCACTGTTTACTTTCTGTGTCATGCTTTGCCATCATTCAGTGCCTCGAACAGTGTTGTTTCATACATTTGTCTCATTTTTTAGGGATTAAAGGTGTGGGAGTAGATCAGGTTCTCACTACTCCATCAACTGAATCACACAGGAAACTTTAGCTATCAAAATGCCATCTCAAAGATGGATCCACTTAGCTCAACATTAAGGAGAACTAAGATGAGAGTCCCAATTGTTCTGAAATTCAATCTGAAAATGACTAGTTGAGAATAAGCAGCACGTGGTTTACTTTAAAGTTGACTGAGGGTAGCACTTGCTTCACTCCGTATTAACCTTTACTGCCATCCAACATGCTGCTTATTGGCCAATCAAGAGGCATAGTCTACGCCAGGAATAGCTGCACATCTCAGTACAGTGTTTCCCTGAGACTGAGGTGTTAATTGGGGAAAAGGCCTCCCAATCGAGGAAGGCTAGATTTTTCACTCACGGTGAATGAGTGAATGCATTTTGGTTTCTGGTGAGAGAAGATCTCCCATGTGAAGTAAGGCACCACAAACAGTGAAAACAGTCTTCCTTTAAGAGGCCTTCAGAGGCCCTCCCTTGTGGCACAGCAGGTTAAAGCGTAGCACTGCAAGCTAGCTGCAGCTGCTTCATTGCGAGTTCAATCCCCAGCCCTGGAGTTGATTCACAGGTGTGGCAGGCTTCTCCTGACCCACCTGCTGCTCCCCTCAGCAGCTAAAAATGTCATTCCTGCCAACCCCTGCATCTGCTAATTCTTTCATTTATTCCTCTTTCTCCTTAAATGTGACCTTTAAACAAAGAAACTGAAGTGCAGATAAATGCAAAGTTGGAGGAATAAACATTCATCAAACCACCACTGGGTAGAAAGGCAGGTGCCACTGAGCCCGGTGCACCAGGTGAAGTCGGTGCCTAGCAACAAGCTGATGTCACTTCTTGCCAAAACCCCGACTCTCCCTGCTCCTTTGGGAGCAGCCAGGAAGTGTGGCAAGCTGACTTCTGAGGGGCGGTGCCCTTGCAGTTGTCCCGAGCCACACCTCCCACCTATCTGGAGGAGGTGCTAAGACATACGGGACCGCCCAGAGGCACTGCCTACTGGGGGCCAGGTCGGCAGGGACCACCAGAGGTAGACACACTTTGAGCAAACGTTTCTTTATTGAGGAAATAAATCTTCCCTACTGGCTCTAGCTCCTGACACAGGTCTGGCTGATGAGCGCGATCAGAAGCACTGTTTCTAAATACCGAGTGAGAGGGCGGAGACCTGCCATTTACAGACTCCTTAAAAAGTGCGAGTACAGTTACCTTCGGTCCCAGAGGACGTTTCCACCAGGCGGCCACGCCCTGCAGCCGGGAGACCACCTTACATTCAGTCGTGTATGTGTACTTTAGTCATGTTTTAGAAATCGGCTCTTTCTCACTAAGATTTACAATAAAAATAAAATAATTTGCTCTGTAAACTGGAGTAGAAAGTTTCAAATGTCTTAAAAACACTCTTCCATACAACGGAAAAAGGCTTTTGTGATCTTTTTGGGCGAAAGGTGACCCAAACAGCGGAGAGGGAGCCTGGCTGCTGCGGTGTCAGTGGAAGCACTTCTTCCCTCGGAGCTGCGGGCCGCTCTCGCCCTGCAGGCCACGGCCGGCTTCTCGCTAGCTCCCGGGCTCTTCCAGAAGCTCAAGGCTGCTCTGCTGCTGCCTGGTCCCTGGCAGCCATGACCAGCTCTGCGAGGGCTGGGAAACTCCGTATGTCCTTCGTCTGCAGGCCCATCTTCTGTATCTGCAGAGGCCAGGGGAATGAGTGACGTGAATGTGAAGGAGGACCCGTACAAAGCCTCCCCTCTGGGGGCCAAACACTCAGCTTTCTAAGACGCCAATGTATTAATTTATGGAAATTCATCCAATCAGGGTCTCACCAGGATAAGAGTCTCTTCTGTGGACTGGAAAATTCACAGCACCAAGAAAGTGAACTATTTTTTTAAGTGAAGACTTTCAAAAGCACTGACCTGAGCTCTTAATTCAACATGTCAACAACCCTTTCTTAGGAGCTGGTGCCCTGAGAACAGTTTGGCAAAGCAACTACAGTGGATGATTCTGGTAGCTGAGATACAGTACACCCTGTTCCTGCAGCATTAACAACAAATACAAAACAAAACACAAAAACCAAAAACACACTCGTCAGGAAACCTGGAAAGCTCTGCAGAAGACTGAGAATCTAAGTGTGCTGAGGCGGGGAGGAGTCTTTTCCCTCTGCCTTCCCCTCCCCCGTCCCTTTCTCCTTTTGCCCATTTGCTCTTCATGAGTCTTTAATGAACTTTCTTGCTTGTGAAAGGACTGGGTTTCTTTTGTGAAATAATGAAATATGGCAATGGTCTTTTGTCAAGGTAGATCTCCAAATTCACCTCAAAGCAGAGAAACTGAGACTTCACGGATATGTGAAGAGAAAACTTAATTAGAAAACCAGGCATCTTCTCTTGGAAAGGCTATGATTTCTTTATTTCGCTAGCACAAAGATCTTCCCTAAGGACCTACTGCTGTAAAGAAAGTCAGTTACTGAACATCAACAAGTTCTACAGCACTCTAGGAAGTCACCCTGGGGACTCTGAATGAAAGGCTGTATGAGTAATCCATACCCAACTCCTAAGTGATGACATATGCATCAATATTCACCCACACACCTCTCTCTCTAAAACCTCAATTTTACAGAAAACCTAAGAGACCCAGAAGCAAAGTAGTGGCGCTCAATTTCCTAAGGTCCACACGGAGGGACCAAGAGCCCAGTGCTTTCCTAGTTACTCTAACTCAAACCAATAACCATTCCACAGACCCTGGCTGGCGCCCGTTATAGACCAGGCACTTTCTAGGTGGTGGCCCAGCAGGCCACGAGCTGTACCGTGAGCACCAGCTCCCGCAGCTTTGAGAGCGCGAACACTGGTGCACAGGTCACTGCGCCACAGTCACTCACTGGACTCCCAAAGGCAACCGGCAGTAGCCTGCTTTTTTTCTCTTTGCCTAACTCCAAGGTCCAAATCCTTTCCTTGCAAGTATTTAGGGGCTCTCCAAACCCTTCTTTGAGCACATGGGTCGTGGGCTTGCTAGCATCTTTGGGCCCATCTGAACCCTGGGGCTGTGGCTCGCGGGTTACCTGCAGCCCGAGGTACTCCACATCTAAGGCCAGCTGGAGCCTGATTTTGTCGTCATCGCTCATGCCACCGGCACTGGAACACACTGGGTTGGTGGGCGTGGTTTTCCTGGCTTGTTTTAGCCTTTTCAGGCTCTCCTCCATCTTCTTCACAGAGTTCAAAACGTCTGACACGGTTTCATAGTACCTTGAACACAAGATACACTTCTGGTGAGACAGGATGTATGTGTCTAACACTAAGTAAGCTGGCTTTGTGGACAAAAGAAGAAATTTTGAAAACATAATTCATCTCCAAAAAACATTAGCTATAACAGTTAATGTTTTTTAAGACAGAAAGAAAGCAGGACCTTGACTCCCAAGCACTGTGTTCACTCAGAACTTAAGAAATTTTCACTGTTTGTTTCAAGCTTTCATACTGAACAGTAAGAGAAAACCACAGGTCCACTCTCTTTCCTCTATCAATGGGGGCAACTGTAGTAGCTCATTCCCCAAATGCAAGTAACAAGTTTACTTACAACCCATTTTTTGAAACACAAAGCATTTCAATTTTTTAAGCAAAATTGTCTTCATAATATACCCAATATAATTTCCAATTATAGTTTGAGTTGTATTTCAAAACTATGTTTACCAGCTGGCTACCTGGCATCTGGAACACATTTTCCCATAAAAACAATAAGATAATCATGTTTATGTTCTAAACTGACAAGTACCTTTTAAACCTTAGAAGTAAGAGACAATCATTAACAGGGTGATGGTAAACATTGATCCTTAATCAGCTGCAATTACCTGAAAAATGTATGTTTTTTCTTCCCTGATTACAATGTAAGTTCTTTGAACATCTGGCATGATTATGGCCATTTTGGAGGACAGCAGAGGAAAGAAAGTATCTTAAATGAATAAACTGCCTGGCCTTGTAGAATGCTGTCAGGGGAAGTGGCACTAAGGGCAGGAAAGGTGGGTGTGTGACCTGGGAGATGCCAGGGCCTAGGAGAGCACTGGCAGCTTGGCCCCAGTCAGGGAGGCAGGTGGCCCGAAGAGCTTCAGGTGGGGTAGGGTTCAGGCGGGCATAGCTCACGCATGCAGGTGAGAAGAGCGCCGACTCCCCGACTCATGCAGCCACAGAGACTCCGCCTCACTACCCCCTCCGCAAGCAACCTGTGAGGGCCTCCGTGATCTCTGACTCACAGCCTTTCTAAGGATGTCCAGAAGAGTTCACTTTGAAATGACTTACTTGTGAGTGCTCTCAGAGAGAGCGCCTTCTAACCACTGGTGAATCCTTGCTTGTTTGAGTTTACCCCCGTGCCCACTCTGGAGCTGGTGGAAGGGCTTCAGAGCACTGTCCACATAAGAAGAAGCGGCAGTTGGCACCTCCTGGAATAAGGTTTCAGGGGTTAGCGGTACATGGAAAACACACAATACATTGTGCAAAGCTTCAGTTCAAAAGGAAACTATTGATGGACCAGTTTTGAGACATGGGCATGGGCAAATTCATCCCACCCCAAAAGTAACAACAACGCTGTTCACAAAGAAACACTCAAGTATTAGAAAGGCGCAAAGAGCAAGCGGGGCGGATGAAGCTGAGAGCCCAACTGGATTCAGGGCTGAGCCGGCGCTGACAGCCCAGCTCCCCAGTGCTGGGGGGCCCAGTGCTGCTTCCTGTAACGCCCTTTCCCTGACTATCATATGGTGACCTCATTAAATCCTGGGTCTGTTTCAGTGGCGTTGGGGGGGGGTAGGAGGGCATGATTTGGGGGTGCCTCTTCTAACAAGCCCCCGCCTGGTGATGTGAACGCTGCTGCTCAACAGGGCACTGTTTGAGAGCAAAGACCTAGGGGAGTATCTCAACTTCTCCTCTGTAAGGACATGAACGTCCACTGTGCAGGAGGAATAATGAGTGTACGTCAGGGTTCAGCACCAAGTCAAACCCACAATGCAAGCACTCAGTAAATGCAACAGCTACTGAGCAGAGAAGGAAAGCTGGTAAATTACTAAACGAGAAATACAGGCACACCTTGGAGATGCAGCAGGTTAGTTCCCACCATGGCAACAAATCACCTATCTCAATAAAGCAAGTTCCATGAATTTTTGTTTCTCAGTGCACACAGAAATTATGTGTCATATGCTACAGAGTGTGCAACAGCACTGTCTAAGAAAACAATGTACACACCTTAATTAAACAACACTTTATGACTAAAAATGCTAACCACCATTTGAATCACTTCAAATGAGTGATCACCTTTTTGCTGGTAGAGGTTTTATAAAATGAGTAAAGGCAATATCCGTGAAGGGCAGTAAAGCAGGACATGCCTGTAAAGCACCAGGGAAGATGGATGCGGCTTTCCCTCGCTCTTTCCCGCTTCCAACTTCAGCTTCAAGCCAGGTCAGAAAGAGGAAACTAGGTGGCGAGTAACTCTGGCTAGAAGACATAATTCTACTGCCTGTCCAGCTGTAAAAGGAAAAGGAGAACGGCCACAGAGCTTAGCTTGGTCTCATTCAGGAGTGACCACTGCCTGCTTGTGTACTGTGGTAAATGAGAAAAGTACCTCACAGTAGACAGGCCTGGCTCTGAGCTCTGGGAATCCCAGGGATATTCCCCACAGTTCCTGAGAATAATTTCAGCACTACACTGCCTAAAATCCATCTCTACAACGGGGGAAAAAGTCAGAGGGAAAACTGAGATTTAGCAAGAACATAAAGACATGTTAAGAGTTCAAAAGTGAAAATTAAAAACACTGATGAAAGTGAATACCCTAAATCTTAATCTTTTAATGAAGTGAGAAAATAGGAGAATTTCAGTTTGAACACTAGTGTGTACTCGACTCTTCACCTGCGAAGTGCCTTTACTATTTCCTAGTGCCGCTTGTCAAATCCCGCGTAGTGAAAGAACAAGCGACATCAGGCACTCCAGGGCCAGGATGACAGGAACATGGCAGAGTCAATTTTTTTTTTTCCTTCCAGATATGAAGTATGGGACTTAAAATGTTTTTAAAATACTTGGTCAAATTGCTCTTTTGAAGTGATTCTTATTCCTCAAGGCTCAAAGTCCACTTCGTCCAAGTCCAGCTATCAATCCCACCTACCCAGTCTCGGGGTAGCTCTCACAGGTGCGTCTCCCTGAAGCAGGCAGAGCAGACAGACCACATCTCCTCAGGCCGCCCCTGGAGGCTAGTCTATCCCTCGCTCTGCCTCCTTCTGGCTTTCCTAACTGCTCTTTTCCCTCCTGGAAACTGTTTTCAGTGGATGGCACTGACCTTATTGGTTCTCCGGTAGAGCCGGGGCACCTCCAGAGCACTTTTCAGGTAACTGAAGCAAGAGTCACTTAAGTCTTGGATGATCCTTTCGCTCACAGGAGGGACGCGGGCTGACAAAGACCTCTGCGAGTCCTCCAGGGCCTCTGTTCGGGCATAAAGAGTGTGTTCAGTCACGCAATTCAGGCCCAGATGTAAATTTAACTTTAAATACTGTCAGAGTATTTAGAGAGTGCACTACAATAAATCACATTAAATTACTAAGAATTAAAATATTTCATTTAGGGAAGTTATAATCATAGAACAGAACAGACAAACAACCAAGAACATTTGCAACTCGAGAAGAAAATGGTCGTGTAAAAGCATTATAGTTTCTAAAATCTGATTTTGAATAATTTTTTATTTAAAGATTTGCTGAGTCTAAAGATTCACCTTTACCTGAGATGGAAGAAAAATTCGTAAAGCCAATCATTTCAAGTTTTGGCTTGATTGTTTCCAAGAGTTCTGGAAGCTGAAATAAATATATACTTTATATATTAAGTTACTTCTTACAAATCAAAGGAAGAAACAATTCTATTTAGACCTACAGATCCTAGGCCACTATTAAAGTCCTAAACCTGGGACTTCTAGAAATTTTCATAAGAAAGCAAAATTTTAAATTAACACTTCACTCTCCAGAACCCCAACAACATGAGAAGCAGCAGTTCTAAGACTTGCAGGAGGCGGCATATGTTCAAACACAAATTCATTGCTGCAAATTTCTCTTAAAGGTAAAAGTAAAACCATGGGACCTATAAAGTAAAAGCAGGAAAAAGTTTGAATAGTTCAGTACTGCCAAAGTATGCTGAGATTCAATGTCACCGAGAAATATTTGGGCAGGTGAATTAGAAATAATTAAGATCCGATACACTAGAGGTTGTGCCTGCAGAGTCGAGTGGAAAAAGTAGAGCAAGGCTTGCACTGATCCTGTAACATCCCCA